ATCTTCAGCGACTAAAATTTAGTCGCGGATGTGTTCAAATTTTTCTGGGAAATATTTCATATTGGCGCCTAAATTTTTCCCCAAATCTATTACTTCTTCACACGGTTGTCTCTCTCTTGCTGTCCCTCTGTCTCTCGCTCAGCCGCTTGTCGAGGCTCAGATACCGTTCAAGATCCACATCGTGAAGGACCACGACATGAAGGAGAGGCTGTGCTTGGAAGTCAAGAGGCTAGGGTTGAGTGCAGTGATTATGGGGAGCCGAGGGTTTGGTGCGATCAAGAGAGGCAACAATGGAAGGCTCGAGAGTGTTAGCAATTACTGTGTTCGTCACTGTGTTTGTCCTGTGGTGGTTGTGAGGTATCCGGATAAGAAGGATGGTGGTAATGCGCCTCAAGTGTCTGTGGTGTCTGCGGCGGAGGATGAGGACGATACAGAGTTCCATGATGCCTCGGATGATCGCAAAGGTTAGGGTTTTTCATCTCTGCTTAGGATGTTTTACATTCCAATTGAATCTGAATGCTACAATTGACAGCGTTGCTTTCAAGGTTATGTGATTATGGTGCTATAAAAGTATGAGCAATAGGTGTTCGATGATATGCTTTAAACACTAGATTTAAACCAAAGCTCATTTGAACTGAAAATTTTCAAATTTCAGTCAAAACACCGAAAAATGAGAAGATAAACCAAAATTTTTCATGTAATTTTTTTTTTAATAAACATTTTATGTTAAACCAAACATAGAATGTCTGGTTGAGTCTTCAAAAATTATGTTTTGAATTTTTTTAAAGTAAAAAACTAGTTGGACAAAAATAAACATGAATTTTTATTTTTTTTCACCAACTAGCTTTTTAGATTCTAAAAAGTCAATCAAACAAACCAACACGGAACACATATTTTAAAGCCAATAAGTAGACTTTACTACTATTTCATTAACGATTTAGATTGTCGTATGAAATTGAATCATGCTGACTCAAATTAGATATTTTAGAGATTAAATTAACAAAATTAATGCTCAGAGGACTACTGTTGCATCTTCATATATGCTCAAATTAGACTTAATGTTGCATCTTCTATATGCATTGCAATATGGGAGTTGTGCTTAATGATTTTCATCCTACTTGCAGACTGATACATCCCTGGCTATAGAGGCTATATTCATGAAAAGATGGGAATTTGATAGTATAGAACAAGCTGCAAAATGCATATCTTCATGGTTTTCAGGAACACACCATGAACAGCTTCTCTTGAAAGGATATTTGGAATCTGCCATAGGTATACTTTTCTAGACTTGACTTTAGTTTAATTTGAAGCAAGCAGCTCCTTTGGATTATTAAAATCTCTAGGCACAGATGTTTGTATTGCTTCAATGGGGTGTTTGTCACAAAACCTTGCAACGTCTAAATAGACACATGCATATGGTGTATTTTTTTTTTATGCTATGTTCATTATGCATGAGCAGTGCATAGTGTATTTGTGGATCATTTTGCAGCGGTGCATGTTGAAGAATCAAATAATAAAGTCATCATGTTGCTCACAATGCAAAGAATACAATTTCTTCATCATTATAAAAGGTAGGGAAGGCAAAGCCTTTTGTCTCGTAATGTACCAAAGCATAACAAATTTCATTTCATCATAGTTAAAATCTTAAAAAATGTCAGAGAATATAAATTCCCTTTTTTTGCCTTTGCTTAATTTTGGGAATTTTTTGTAGACAATCATGAAGAATTGAATGTGATGATTGTTGACTAATAGGCTTCTTTTGGTTCTCAAGTGCAATGTTCTCTCTCATACTGTACAATTGAAGTATCTGTCACTAAATTGACTTCAAAGAAGGCAGCTTTAAATTATTGCTGGAGAAGTTGAAAATAACTCTTTTTATCTTGAAGTTTCTTGCAAATTCTTTTTTGTTGAGAGATTTATTATGTATTTGAGGAAGTTTTTCTTCTTTTCAGAAATTTCTTACCGTTGGCAACTCTAAAAGAAATTATATATTAATAACCATTCTTGTTTACAAACATGTTTATGATTTCTTGTTCTTACCGTTGGATTGTAGGTACTTGTTAACAGATTGTACTACCGTCTTTTGTGGGTTGACTGTAGTATAGGGGATTTTATTATGTTTGTTTATTAGTGATATAGTTAGATTGTATATTATTTTTCCCATGACAATTCTAATCATGCTTGGGGTCTCAATTGAAGCCATACATTGAACATCATGCAATCCCCAAATTTTGTTAAGTACTAGGATTTTCTAGGAATAACATTTCATTAAGTTAGTTGGGATGAGTGATTCACCAGCAAAACCAAATATGAATTTATGGTTTAATTCTTAAATCTCTAGTTGTTTAATGATCTTTGTGCTGTTCTCTGTGAGTTACCTAGTTTTCTAGGTTATTGGTGTTTTTACTTTGTAGCTCAGGTTTACCAAATGAACATATTTATCTTGTTTTATTTGAAATTTATAGTCTTTTTACGCTTAAAATCTCTCTAACAGCTATTAAGGTTGGTGAGAAGCTTTAACATGTAAACAGCAATGTTCCTGATTTGTGCAATACTTTGGATTTTGCTTCGTTAATGGTGACTCATTTGTCAGTTAGTGTGTTTTAATCATAGAATTTATGCTATTGGTCTTTTTTTTTTTAATTTTTAGAAGGGATCTATGTTATTGGTGAAATCAGACATTTTTCATGCCTTCTCCACATATGTAGGGGCTCTCATATTTGGGTGGCCAGTCATAGCTCACAGTTACAGAATTTGGGCTGCTTACTAATGGCAACTATGATTATTCATTACATTTTCCTTTTGCTATGCTACTCTCCCAACAACACTGAGTCGACACTTTCAATTTCTGCAATAATGTATTTCCTAGTTATGCTATGTATTTCCTAATGTATTTCTGCAATAAATGAGTCATCTATTCTCACAAGGTCCTGCTTGAGTTTTTTGAGTAGGGACAGTGGTGCTCCTGGGTATGGTTCTAAGTAGAATTTGGTGTATATATTTATTTATTTATTTATTGGGTTGCCTGCCAATTTCCAGTTCTAGGTGGTATTTTCCAATAGCATCATTATCCATCATTTTAATTGATCTTGTTATTGGGCCTTTTGCATTTGCATAACCAATTCCTCATGTTAAATAGTTTATCCAGTATGCTTGAATCTTTATTCACTAATTCAGTTCTCTCGGGATTTTTTCTACATTAGCAGAACAACTACTCTGCACCTCATGTTCCGCAAAATGTTAATGCATGTCCAACACTATTTGTGGCAAATTTGGGGCCAACTTGTTCAGAGCAAGAGCTAATTCAAGTCTTTTCAAGGTTTGGAGTAATTATTTTTATCATGTACTTTCCTAATATGTGAAGCTCGTGGAATTTAATTTTTTATTTCTTTTTGTCCTTTCCCAGTTGCCATGGATTTATAAAATTGAAGATGCAGAGCACATATGGAACTCCGGTGGCATTTGTTGATTTTCAGATACTTTGTTACTGTCATTGAAAAGCTAAAACAAGAACTCATGATGGGTCCATGTTTGTATGTCTTTCATTAGTTAATATAATTTTTGTTGTGGTACAGAAGTTGTAGGTGTACAATTAATTTGGTTATTCCTGTATTATGTATGGAATTAAAATATTGACGTTGGATTAGACTTGGTTCTTATGGAATTTGTAATATATTTATATAATTGGACGTTCAATATTAATTATTTGGATGGTTGCAATTGAAATGTGTGCACGTGGTTGAATGTTTGATAACATATTTAGTGTTGATGGATTATATTGTTCATACAGGGTACAGGTTGTATTAATAATGGATAAAGGTTGTTTAGAAAAAAAAAAATTCGAAAAAAAAAAAACGTTAAAGTATTTGGCCACCAAATATTTTGGTAGCCAAATACGTAATCAAATGTTTTGGTGACTAATAATTTAGTGGCAAAAACATAACCCAAAAAGTTTTAGCGACCAAATAATTAGTAGCTAAAACAATTGAGAATGAGAGAAAGAAACTACTGGCCACTAAACACTTTAGTCACCGAATTCACCTTTTGCCGACTAAACTAAAATTAGTAGCCAAATGTGTACTTTCGGCGACGAATTATTTAGTAGCTAAAAGTGATACCTTCCCCGACCACAAGAAGTTAGTAGCCAAAAACCCTCATTCGGCGACTAATACTTTAGTAGCGGAAACATACTTTTTGCCGACTAAACTAAATTTAGTAGCGAAATGTAGTCACTTTCGGCGACCAAACAAATTTTAGTCGTCAAAACTATCGTCGACAGGGTAAAGGCGACGAGCTTAGCGACAAAATATTTTGGTCGCTAAAGCGTTTCGGCGACTAAATTTTTTACTTTTGGCGACCAATATTTTGGTAGCCAAAAGTGACATTTCTTGTAGTGCAAAGTGAACATGTAGATACCTCTTCACAAGGAGGAATACTGAAAAACAAAAATGGAAATAATATAAGGAGAGGAAGTTGTCCATTGATTTTTATTTTGGACAAACTTCACTTTAACCCCCTATAGTTTGAGCTGGGTGCAGATTACCCCCTGACATTCAGAAATCACTACATAACCTCCATGTGGTTATTAGATTGAAATGAACACTAACTTCGGTTAACAGAAGTTGTAAATTGACAAGTATACCCTCATATTCAACTTCTTCTTCTTCTTCTTCTTCTTCTTCTTCTTCTTCTCCTCTCTCTCTCTCTCTCTCTCCCCGTTTCATCTACGTGTACATATATATACATATACAATCTCATGTGGTGTTTAATAATTAGCAATCATATATATATATATGTGTGTGTGTGTGTATGGATAAAACATGAGCATACAATGTTTTTTTTTCAATCCTCATTGTGCATCTATATATATATATGTGTGTGTGTGTGTGTGTGTATATATGATTCTAGATGATTTGATGATAATGTTTGATGAATTGAAAATTCAAAATCGTATTATTTGATTTTAGTTGTTTCACTATGTACATACATACATACATACATATACATATATATATATATATATATTATAAAACAAAAGGGGGGGGAAGAGAGAGAAGATGTTGATTCCAAAAATATATAACACGGATATATATATATATATATGTGTGTGTGTGTGTGTCCATCATCATGAGCATACAATGTTTTTTTTTCAATCCTCATTGTGCATCTATATATATATATGTGTGTGTGTGTGTGTGTGTCAATCTTCACCAGATGATTTGATATATATATATATATATATATGAATGTATATGATTCCAGAAAAATAAATATTTAATAATGTGTATATATATATTTGTATAACCAGCTATTAATGGTTGAAAAATAGAAGTAGGAAAAGAATGGCATCCTTTGTAAATTTGAAGAGGTAGAAAGAGTATTTTCGTCAAAAAAATTGACTCACTCTCTATAGAGGCATGTGACTTTCACATTTTGCTATCTTAAATAGAAAAGTTAACAGTGCGTTTTAGTTTACAAACCACATGGGGGGTTTTGTGGTGATTTTCGAATGTCAGGAGAGTAATCTGCACCCGGCCCAAACCATATGGGGTAAAGTAAAGTTTGCCATTTTATTTTTTGTTGTACCAAATGTTAAATAAATGTAGAATATATTTCTTAGAAACAAACAGAGCATTAATATATATACTATAAATGTGTGACTTAATTGTTTACCATTTGATTCCATAAAGGTAGTTGAGTTCCAAAGTCCATGTTTATACTGAGTCTTCGTGAAAATACTGATCTATCTAATTTAGGGTGGATAACCAAAAAAATCTTAATATTTGTCATCCAATCAATTGAGAAAACAAAATAATGTCATTTTGACGTTATTAAATTCATAATTAAATTATTGAATTCACCAGCAAAATAACATTCTTTGATTCATATAATAACTTTGTCCAAGAGTGGCAATTTAAGAAGGAAAGGAATATGAATTATTATCATCCAAAAAAGAGAGATGCCTACATGCATTATTATTTTTCATCACAACCCACCAAACAATGGTTAGGTACATTTAGAAGTATATCTCTACATGCGTGAAAAGGGTACCGAGATTGTCACATTCTTTGGATGAAATTTGTTCCTTAATTCAAAGTTGCAATTTCACAATCAAACATACATTCTGAAAACTCTCCATTATAGTCCGACAAAAACTCATTTTTCTTTTGTAGTTGGTTTAACTATTATGTAATATTTGATTCATTGGAATGAAAGTAAAATAGAATGATCATTTCATTTGAAATTTAAAACTTCCTTAACAATTTCTAAAATAATTTTTTTGTGAATCTTTTGCAGCTATTGCTCAAGAAATGAAAATTTCCATCCTTCCAATCAAATGGGGAGGAATATATATTAGTTCTAGGGAATATGGGGAACTCTTTTTCATTTTCATTTATTGGTGCAACACAAGTTATATAATTAAGCTACTGTGCTCCATAATCACTACATTTTACATACATACAAAACACAGTTCTACATAATTTCATAAATCCAATGAACCGTACTCAATTTCCAAACAAAAATTCTAACACAAAATCATCTTATTAGGTACTTTATTTTAAAATGTACTCTCTGGTAGAGTTTACAAGGGTAGTTCATGCAGTTGATATTATCATTGCGCAAGATGGATCCGAGAATTTCACAACAATCACAGATGCTATCCTTGCTACTCCTAACTATAGTGCACGTAGATACTACATAAAGATCAAAGAGGGCTTGTACGGAGAGGACATATTTGTTGGAATAG